GCAGAGACATGGTCCCCCAGCACTACCTTCTGGAATCGACCGTTGAGATAGGAGCGGAACCATTGCAAAGCAGTGCCTCCAACCCCCAATCCCGCTAGCCTATCCAGAAGGATACCATGGTTGATGGTATTGAAAGCCGCCGAGAGGTCCAGAAGAACCAACAGGGATGCACTCCCCCTGTCCTTCTCCTTGCACAGGTCATCGTACAGGGTGACCAAGGCAGATTCAGTACTGTACCCGGGTCTGAAGCCAGACTGAAAAGGATCCAGATAACCAGTTTCATCCAAGAGTGCTTGGAGTTGTCCCGCCACCACTCACTCCAACACCTTGCCCAGAAACGGGATGTTGGCCACAGGTCTATAGTTAGTGGATATCTCTGGATCCAGTGACGCTTTCTTCAAGACCGGTTGTATTACCGCCTCCTTTAAAGGGGCAGGCACTCGACCCTCCCTCAGAGAAGCATTAACCACTTCCAAGATCCAGGTCCCAATCCCGTGCTTGGAGTTATTTATTAACCAAGACGGGCAAGGGTCCAATAGGCAAGTGGTGGGACGTACTCGTCCAAGTACCTTGTCCACATCATTGGGCCGCAATAATTGAAATTCCTCCAACAATTTTGGACCAGACGGTAGCATTGGCGTCTCCCCAGAGACCTCTGATTCATTAGTGGAGTCCAGCTCGTGACGAAGCTGAGCGATTTTCTCCCTGAAATGCCTGGCAAAGTCGTCACAGCGGGCCTTTGAGGGTGGCATCGGATCTTCCTTAGGACCCAGGAGAACCAGGCCTTGTACCACTTGAAAAAGTACCGCCGGACGGCATTGTGAGGAGGCAATGGAAGCGGAAAAAAACTTCTTTTTCGCCGCCTTCACCGCCACAGCATAGGCCTGATAGTGGGCTCTCAAGTGTGTTCGGTCAGATTCATCCCGTGATTTCCTCCACCTACGCTCCAGTTGTCTCCCAACCTGCTTCATCGCCCGCAATTCAGGTGTATACCAAGGGGAAGAGCGGGCTCTGCCCGGTGGGAGAGGACGCTTGGGAGCGATTGTGTCCACGACCCTGGTCATCTCTCCGTTCCACAGTTTGACCAGAGCCTTGACAGGAGCACCAGTCTTGTCAGCCGGAAACTCCCCCAGGGCCTTCAGGAATCCATCCGGATCCATCCGGCTCCGGGGGTGGGCCCATACAATCGGGTCCACACTCTTATAGAGAGAGAGGCCGCTCTCGAGCACAAACCTCACCAGGAGGTGATCTGACCATGACAGGGGAGTCAAACATAAGTTCCTCACCCTCAGGTCATCCTCTTCCTGCCCCGTCGAGAAAACCAGGTCCAGAGTGTGTCCACGTTCATGGATCAGGCTGCTGACGTGTTGAGACAGGCCCATGGCCATCATAGAGGCCATGAAGTCCTGAGCCGCCCCGGTCAGTCCAGACTCGGCATGGAGATTGAAGTCCCCCAGGACCAACATCCTGGGGGTCCTCAACGCTAGGTCCGAGATGGTCTCTGTCAGCTCAGATAGGGAGACTGCTGGGCAGAAAGGTGCACGGTACACCAATAGAATCCCCAATCTGTCTCGTTTGCCCAACACCAAGTAGAGGCACTCTAGCCCTGGCCTCGAAGGGACCGGAAGACCCGTGAGAGAGATAGAGGCTCGGTAAACCAACGCGACTCCCCCTCCCCTCCCTTCTGGGCATGAACAGTGTTGAACCAGATACCCGGGCGGGCACAATTGGGAGAGGGCAACATCCCCTCCCCCTCCCACCCAGGACTCCGTTATGCAAGCCATGTCGGCCCCCTCATCCACAATCAAGTCATGGATGAGGGAAGATTTATTATTGATCGACCTGGCATTGAGCAGCAGCACCGTCAGGCCCGAGGGGTGGTTGACAAGGCTACCTGGCGCCCTCTGGTTGGGGGCAGAACCAGAAGGAGGGATAGGTGTCAGCCATCTGTCCATCCTTCTTCTACGTGGACACATTAAGCCCCTATTGCTGTAACGACCATTGCCCGTGACCATGCCAATAGCAGCGGCCGTGTGTTCCCCAGGATATATAAATGTCGACATGGCCAGGGATGACTCCAAGCACTGATTAAAGCAGGGTAAAATTATAAAGCAGGTCGAAGAAGGAGAAAAAGAACAATAAAGGGGGAAAAAAATCCTTCCCCTTCCCTAAGATTCAGCAGTGGGCAAGCCTATTTCAACAAGAGTCCTTGGCCAGCCCAGCCCCCCTCTCGTCCCCCGAATGGCACCCCAAATGGCGGCGACCCCCTTTGGTCGCCACCCTTCGGCCGCCGGCCGCGGCCGCTGCTTTGTGTCGGCAGGGCGCCTCCAAGTCCCGCCCCGTCGCGCACCGCGCGCGCCTGATCACCTGGGCCGGCGGGCGGCGCTCTCCGGCGCCGCGTGCGCCTGCGCTGGCCGGTAGAGTTGGCTGCCGTCGACGTCGTGGCCGCGTGCGTCTGCCTGCATTCGCTTGCCCACGCGGCGGCTCTTTCCTCCAGCGCGATGGAGCGGCGTGCTGCTGGAGGTGGGTGGGTTGTGAACTGTGGGTTGCTTACCATGGTTTATCATCTTGACAGAGTTCATGTTTCACTGTGAGCTGCCTAAGGATGCCATTGGTGGAATAGGAGGCTTATACATATTTTAAATAAATTAATCACTCGCCATTCAAGTGGCAACACAACACTCAGCCCTTGAATGTGGGATCTTTCATTATTTGAACCCATTCAACGTAAAATTAAGGCAGAGATGCTCTGCCTGGTGCGTATGCATTCAGATGGACAGTTTGAGAGACTCAGGTACCATTATTATATAGAGGGGGAAATGCTCACCATTTGGGGACAGAGAAATACGAAATACTGGGGAAAAGGGGCAACGGTGGAATCAGCATGGGACGTGCTGGAAGGGGCATGGCTGCCTGCCGCCCCCTGGCAAAAGCTCTGTGCATATTTTCTTGTCTGTCCTATTTTTCACCCCGTATTTTTTCATGGAAGAACAACGAATGGTTCCATTTTGGAACTCAGACTCGTCTGCCTTGGACTTAGGTTCTGGAGCAAGTTTTCTTTTAGCCGGGTCAGTTTGGCTTCCAAAAAAAGGAGGATTTTGTGGCTGGTCACAAGCCCTCTGGGCATGTTGGAATCTGAGCAGGATAACCCCAAATCTCTGCCGTAACATTCACAGCCTAACCGCTTACTTCACAGGGTGTGGGGGCAGAAATGGCATCATGCAGTCTTGGATGGAATAAAAACATTTAGGTGAAATTGATGGGAATGTTTTAAAAGTCCATTTTAAATCTCTCTCTACCCATTAGCAAATTTGATGCAAAATGAACTGGCATTTTTAAAACGGTTAAGTACATTTCCAATTTGCTAATGGGTAGAGGATTTACAATGGCCTATTATTCACGGACCGACTTCTTCGGTGCCCTTACAGACTCCCCAGCATGGACTTTTCCATCTTATGTATTTTTGATCATAAAAGCATTTTCCAGCTTTTAAGTAGAAGTTCGCAGAGAAGACGTGTATGCTTTCCAATGCGAGGGAGAATCACCATTTCATGTAATGCATATGGGAGCACCATCGCCTCTGTTTTGGTTCTGGAATACAAAACCTTTGCTGAGGCAAGCTAAGCTGTTATTTGGCTTTTACATTACCAGACCTTTTGGACAAAGCCCCAAACTGAGCTGGATTTTCACCTCCAGAGGTCCTTAAATTGAAAAGAATATTTCTAGTATTCCTGTTTTCTAGTTTATAATATGTATACTTGCTCTTCCTTGAACTGCCAAAAAACCCAGTAATACAAGCATCATATAATATATGCCCACTCCAAGACTTTAAAAAAAATGAGCTATTTTTATAACCGAGCCATTTTAACTAAGCATTTATAACCAGGAAGCTCGCTTTAACAGAATTCCTAAGTTGGACCCCCTTGTATGGGAGGATGCTTCTCCATTTCTCTTAATAGGATTTCTAATAGGATTGGGTATCTTTAAAGGTTTTAAGGATTTGCTATTTGCTGGTCATGTGTAACAAATGCTTGTATAATGATGCATTCTGGCCCTCAGGTAAAACACCAGCTCAAAATAGGAGCGCTCCTAGCATTAAATCCAGGGTAGATGTGGTTTAAGATGCTCCCCACCAACTCTTCGCTGTCAAAAAAAGCCCAAAACCCCCCTGCGTTTTCCTCTTTCTTTTTCCATTTCACAGGATAGAATGCAACATGGCTCAGCAGGAACTCCTACGACACCATCATGGTTTGAAGGAGCACAAATAAGCAGCTTCCTTGTCCCCGAGCATTTTGCAACATTTTCATTAAATGCAGAGCTTCTCCGTGGAGCACAAACCAGGGGATGGATGATTCAAATGCTCCCCAGGGCTTACCCACGTGTCCTGGTGTAGACATCAGCAGAGGCAGCACTGGTAAAAATAATGCACCCAAGCAGAAGTGTGTCCTTTCCCCGTTTGTGTAGCCCTGTAAACGGGGGAACAACTGAGGTTTGGGAGGTTCCCTGCCGCAACCACACAGGGAGCATGGGCTGTTTTGAACTACGCTCAAGGGGTCAGGGGCATTCCCTCGCAAAGCCTCACACAGCACGATGGGAGAGGGGGCCTGTCGCTGCCCCAGGAAGCCTTGCAAAAAAGCTTTCTTTCTTCCCTTTGCACCAAGCACCCTCTTTTGTTCTCCAAATAAACATCTCCTCGCAGAACTCTTGGCTTTGCTCAAGATTTCACAAGGTTCCGGCCACCTTCAGCACAGAATGCGAAGTGGAGATATGAGAAACACCCGTTGCGCAACTCTTCCTGAAGGTGCCCAGGGAGGAAGGGCGAAGCTGACGATCTTCTGACCGCTACCCCACTCCACAGAGCACTGTTAACTGCCAAGAAAGCCTCGGCTAATGGGCAGTATGAAAATGAACTAGCAAACCAACAAACCAACCAACCAACCTTCTTGCTGGTGTTCTCCCGAGTCAGAGGCTAAGAGGATAGAACCACGCAAACACAGGGAGAAACCTCTTCATTATCTTTAATTTACATGTGCACTTTTAAAAAACAAAGAACGAACCAACCCCATTTTCAAGTTCTCCATTTGACAGGCAGGCCCTTGCCCCAAGCTGCCCAAGCTTTCTGCCCTCCAAAGGTGGGAACTATGGCACAGTGTCATTTCTGGTATAGCACCTCTGAATTTATGGAAGTATCTTTGCTCAGAGGATAATTTCCAAGCGGGTGGGAAGACAGACAGGGCTCCCCTTTCTGATCATTCTGAAAGGTGTACAGTCATAGCCCTGCCCCAGGGAAGGGGTGAGAGAGGGAAGAAATAGGGGTTTGCAAAAATGCAAGGGAGTTGGAAGAGCATTTTTTCATCTCCGCTTTGCTCCCTGTCTCAGGGTGGCAAAAGAGAACAGGGAAATGTGCCTCAGATTGAAGAAGATGGTCCTCCTCTGACAACATCGCTTTGTCACTGCTGCTTGGATTTCAGGGATAACCGCTGCACCAGCTTATAAAGAAGACCAAAGTGCTAAAAAAAAGCATAAACAAGAAAGAGAACAAATTGATGCCCTGGGTTAAAGCTAGAGTCGAGTCAAGTCGAGATTAGTCCTAGACCTAGCCCAAACAGATGCAGGGAAGGGGGCTGAAAAATCTCAGAAGCAACTTGGTTCAACTCTGTACCAGCCTGGGGCATATTAAGCATATTGCAGGCATGCAGGATTACGACACAACACAATGTGCCAGTCTGAAAGAAGCTCAAGATTCTTTAGCATGGCTTGATATTTTCCCCTCCAAGCACACGTGTGAAAGAGGCTGTTGATCTCGGAGGAAAAAAAAAAAAAAACAAGTGTGAAATGTGGAATAGGAGCTTGGCCTTGTTGAGGTCAATCACAAGAGCTTTTCAATTTGAATGAAGCTGAACTATAAAAGCACAAGTCTCTTGATGACAGCAAGGGGGTAAAACACTGACCAGATCACAGTTAGTTACCTCAAATATTAGACTTCTTCAGGAAAGCATGAAGGAAGTTGTTTCAACTGTTGTAAGCTGCAAAGGGAGCCCAGTAGCGGGCTATAGTTGTGGAAAATAGATTGAAATAATAATAATAAACATGCTGATTGCATTGTATGGCAAGTGCCTCTGAAAATCGGAGGATATTTTTTTCAGAAAAGGAGCATTTGGAGTTCAGAATGCCACTGAGGGACCGCAATCTGATATACTAATCTTGACCAATCTGCTGCCTAGCAGTGGATTGGATTACTAAGTCCAGTTGGGCATGATGGGAGTTGTTATCTAGGGATGGTTGCTCTTGGACTGGGACAGGAGAGCTCAGTGTTTCTATCTCCACATTTTATGGATGATTTTAAGCCAGTCTCTCTCTTTCGGTACACTGGACTTTCAGGGGGTGTTGCAAAGAATAAGCACCCCAAGTTTCCAAGGAAGGATTTCTTTAAAAAGGAAAACAAAGGAACCAGAACAAGCTGCAGTGTGTTGCACTCACTTGGACTGCTACGTACGCCACTCCAAGGTATGCGGCTATGCAGAAAGCCAAAAGGAGGTCAAAGATGGCTGGCTTGACCCTGAAAAACAAATGCCATGTTTGCACACACCGTGCATGAAGCTTCGCACGGAACAACACGTGATCCTTTTGCGGAGGGGGAGAGGGAGGGGGAGATTGATCGATTCCGGGCTTCTCGCCCCAGCTTTTGCAGCTGAGTAAGGAACACGCTCGGGAGCAGAAGGTTTCCCCATGGATCCCTCCTGGTTGGTCAAGACTGAACACCTCTCCTCCAACGAAAAAGCCACCTTCTCCCGCTGCGTGGCTGGCCAAGATGTGGCTGCAGCCTGGTCAGCCATCGCAGGCTGGAGACCAAGACGAGCTTATACGAACACTTCCCCTGCGCTCGCCTCGGTCAAGAGGATAACCGTCCACAAGAGCTCTTCGCCCAGCTTGTCAGGTCAGGTCCCGCAGCTCAGCCACCACAACATTCACCCCGTTAATGGTCGGGAGAATACAAATCACCGAGTGAGAGGACTTGTGTTTACCTGTAGGCATTCATGACTTGCTTCAGTTGGTCGTAGAAAACAAACTCGGGGTCCCTGTGTATTTGTGTTTAAAGGGGAGAGGAGAGAGGCAGAAGGATTAAAATTGGCTGCGATCTGCAGAGGCAACGCAAGCACAGGAGGCTGCTGGCAGCTCTGGCCTCGCCTAACCACCCTGCGTCTGGCCAAAGGGAGGCATCTTTGGAACTTGAGATCTCTCCCAGCCTTCCTGCTTGTACTCCTGTGGAACGGCAGCAAACCTCAGGTCAAGCGACTTCACGCATTGCAACAGCTCTGCCAGGTCTCCCTGCCGAGTCAAGGTGTCATCCCCTCTGAGCCACATCCATGCAGCCTGGGGATTCTTTAAAAGGGCCACCTGTCATATACAACTTCTCCCCTTCCCTGGAAAAAGGAAGACTCAAGTTCTCGCAACAGACGAGGGCATAAGCTGAGGGACACTGCCTTCTGGCAAAGGTCTGCCAGCAATACTCTGTACCACGGATCTGAATGATTTATTTATCCTTTGAGGTGGTGTGCTAGAATTTTGAAAATCCAGGGTGAGTTTATACAAAGCATGGCAAAAATTCAAGCACGAGAACACCCGGGATCAGTGTCCACATCATTCCAAACAAGAAAAAAGCAGGGAGGAAGCATCAGCAAAATCAGCAGCAGCCAAAAAAGTGGAAAAGCTCAGCAAAAAGCACTAAGCACCCTCTTTAGCTAGCAGAGACTTAAAAAAAAAAAGCCTTACAGGCTGGCCCGGAAAGGAGCCATATCAAGAGTCAGTGTGGCGTAGTGGTTCAGAGCATGGGATTGGGACTCAGACGACCCGGGTTTGAGTCCCCGCTCAGCCGTGGAGCCAACTGGGTGGCTTTGGGCCAGTCACAGACTCTCAGCCCAGCCTACCTCAAAGGGTTGTTGTTTTGGGAAGAAGATGGAGGAGGAGATGTAAGCTGCCTTGAGCCCTTTGCAGGAAAAAGGCAGGATATAAATTGAAAAAAAAAAAAAAATCTTGGGGAGGGACTTCCACAAATGATGGGGCACCCCTGAGAATGGGTGATAAATCAAAAGGACAAGAGTGCCCAAAAAGCAGGGAATGGGGAAGGTTAGTGTAACCCAAGAGAAAATTCTGCCCAAGGCCCAAATCCTGCAACCATCATAGGCACTGTTGCCCTGCTTGTGTGTCTAGACACCTGCTCAGCTGCTCTGCCTCTGGATGTTTTTTCAACTCACACGCTCTGTTGTAAAAGACTAAAACTCTTCTTTAAATATTCTCACATTTTATCTGTTACAATTTTACATCTGCTAGTTTATTTTATTTTACAAAACACCATGATCATTTGCCTATTTCAGTTGTTTTACAATCAATTCATTCCGTGAGCATTTTATTATAGACTTGATTTTACACTCTGCTTTGTTGTCATTAAGTGAGCTTTTTATTGGTTTCATCTTGTGACCGTTTAAATCTATTTTGGCTTTGTGATGTTGACATGTAAGCCTGTTGGGACCCCTGCTGGTGCTGGAACTCGTGGCTCCAAGTTCAGTGTACAGGGCTTCACTGAATCCGCCTCTACCTTAGACCCAGTCTTTCCAGCAGGTTGCTGTTTTTGGCCAGGGCTCCCATGACAACCCACCATGGAGGTATCCACGAGTACCAAAAACATTCCTTCCTCAGCACCCTTACCGCTTGTCGGCCTTCACGTGGTGCTGCTTGACATCCTTCAGGTAGCGGCTCATGAAATACTCGAGCGTGTTGATAAAGGTGCTGTCCTTGTCGACCAGCTGGGCAGCCCTTGGCTGGCTGGTGAGCCAGCCCATCACAGACTCCATCTGCTCTTGCTGGATCTGCTGCAGAAGCAGGGAAGCGAGAGGCAGTCCGCCTGTTCTGCGGGGTAAATCCCCTGCAAGACCCCCTAGATCCTCCCCGCCCTCGAGGCTGGCTTACCATCTGCTCTGTGAAGACCTGCAGAGCAGCAGACACGCCCTGGAGAAAAACAGAGGCAGCAGAGCAGCAAAGTCAAGGCAGAATGGATTTTGTTCTCCATTTATTAAAAAGTCCCTGACATTTTCTAGGTACGATACAAAGATTAAAGGAAAAGTGAATCAGCACTAGTGGATTTGCCATTTTCCAAGTCGACAGGGAAATGGGGACTGGGGCAGTGAGAGCTACACCATCGTTTCTGCGAGGAAGAAAAGGTTGCTGCCCCGGTGGGTGCGCCAGCCTGCTGGGCCTTCTTTTGGGATACTCCCCCCCCACACTGCCCCTCAGCAGTAGCCTCCTGTCAGATTGTAGGGTTCGGCCCTCCCTCCAGATTATTTTCCCTGGCCACCAAAGCTCAGTTCCTGAGTACACTGTCAGTATATGGAATAACAGACAGCTTGGAAAAGGGGCCATTTAAGCAGGAGCAGAGCCCCAAGACGGCTGTGCCGGCAGCACAGCAGAGGGGACAAGCTGGGCCGCCCCATCTCTCCCTGTGCTGCAGCGAGGTGGCACATCTGCAAAGAGATGAAGGTTCTGGAAGGAGGCGAGCCAACAAGGAAGGTTGCCCATGCCAGGCAACCATACCTCTTCTGTGGCGGGAGGTGGCCAACACGGCCAGGAAAGAGCAGCCATAGAGGAAAGCGTTACCTTCTCTGTTAGGTTGTAGATCACCCGTGTCAACGCCTCCACGATGATGCGCGTGTTGCGGGTTAGTACTTTGGGGTCCACTCGTGCTCTGCGAGAAAAAGGCAACGGTGTGTCAGAAGTTCCTCTGGATTTCTGTTCAGATCTTGTGACAAAAGAGGGTTCTGCCAGCAACATGGTGCCCAGACCGGGGGCAGTCTGGGGTGAACAGTCTGCTGATCAAATTCACAGATGCTACTAAAACCAGGGCAGTGGCCACGACTGAGGAGCAGGTACTCTGGATCCAGAAGGATCTGGACAGACTATGGAAGTGGGCAGGAGACAACAGGATGGCGTTCGATGTGGATAAGTGCAAGGTCTTGCACTTGGGACATGGGAATGGGTGCCATAAGTACAGATTAGGGGACAAGTGGCTGGAGAGCAGCACTTGTGAAAGGGAGCTCGGGGTGCTGGTCGACTGCAGGCTGAACGTGAGCCAGCCATGTGACACAGTGGTCAAGAGGGCGAACGCCACCCTTGGTTGCATAGCCAGAAGTGTGGCTTCCAGATTGAGAGAGGTGTTACTACCACTCTACACGACTCTGGTGCACCCACAACTGGAGTACTGTGCTCAGTTTTGGGCCCCTCATTACAGAAAGGATATAGCCAGGTTAGAGTCAGTGCAGCGCAGGGCCACAAGGTTGGTGGCCAGTTTGCAGGGGAAGCCATATGAGGCGAGACTGAGGGAACTGGGCCTCTTCAGCCTGGAGGGGAGGAGACTCAGAGGGGACCTGTTGGCGACATACAGGTGTGTGAGGGGGTGTCACACGGAGGTGGGTCGAGACCTGTTCTCCCCTGCAGGGGAAGGCAGGATGAGCTCCAACGGAGTAAAGCTCAAGGAACCCAGGTTCAATTTGGATGCCAGGAAGCACTTCCTGACGGTTAGGACCCCAAGGGTATGGAATGGGCTCCCACGGGAGGCGGCTGAGGCCCCATCGGTGAAGGTGTTCAAGGACAGGCTGGACATGCACATGGTGGGCAAGTCATGAGCAGAGCCAGCTGGAGCCGGGGGTCAGACTAGATGGCCTGGGAGGCCCCTTCTGACTCGCTCTGTTTCTATGTTTACGGAAGGCAGCTTGCCAATTAATGCTTTCCTTCAAACAGAGGGAAGGCTCATAGGAGGAAAGGGAAGCTGGGAAGCTTGAACACCATGCAAGACACCCATGGACTTCTTCCTTCAACATCTGGACTTTTTTTCATGAGGACACCCACCCCAAACTCAGTTGGCAAGGGAAAAGCTGCCTTCTGCAGATCTGAGCAGATACACAACTGTTCCAGTCCCTTTTTATCCCCTTAGCTTCATTGCAAGAACCAGCCAGCCAGGCATTTTTCAACATGCTTGTCTGATACAAGAGGCCCCTGCTTATAAATTCAATTTAACAAGAGCAACTGGACCTTCCTTCTCTTGATGACATATGCAAGGGACATTAAATGATTACCCCCAAACTTCCACCCACAATCTAGATGGGACAATCAAGAATTCCATCACTTTCACGTTCCCCCCTCAAATCTATGTAACTCTAAGGAAGGCTTTTGGCCCCTTCATATTAACACGCTGTTTAACATTGGACAGATTCACAGGGGAGGAGGCTACCAGTGGCCTTCCTGGCTATGGGCTACCTCCTAAAATTTGCCCAACCCTGGTGCAGGGGAGGAAATTCACTTCCGTGAGGCCTTCCACCTCCTACTCAAGTATGAGAGGTGAGCGGCAGCCTGGGTCTCTGTCTACTGATAGCTAAATGGAGCCTCCCTATACAGAGGCAGTCTGCCACAGAGGTCTGGATCAAGGACAGAGGAGGGCTGCTCTCAGGCCTGCGAAGTCCTCAAGAACGTTCTAGGTCAGGCCCTGATGGAAGGAGGGTGCCAAATGCTTGGACCTTTGCTCAGATGTGGCATGCCCTGACCTTCCAGGCAAGACCCTTGCAGAGGGGAAGGGGGCACCTGGATCACTGCACCATGTGTGCTCCAGCAGAGCAAGGGCGCCCACCCCAGCAGCCCCGGCACCTGCCCTCCTGGGCCCTCCCCACCCAGCGGCTGACCTCACGTCCATGATGCTGTTCCGCAGTCCGTCACGGTGACTCTCGAGGTGGGAGACGGTGAAGGCGGGCAGGCGCCGGATGGCGAAGCGCTCGTGCTCCCAGGCTAGTATGTCCTCTGCCAGGTTGATTTTCTTGTGCACCATGGAGAACCTGACCTCCGGGAATTGGCTGGCAACCACCTGCAGGGATGCGGCCGGGACGAGAAAGCCAAGCCGTTGAAAGCGGCTCCTCTCCAGGTCCCGCTGGAGCGGTTTCACGGGAGAGATGCTTCGCTTCATCCCCACAACATGAGACAGTCTAGGAGCTTGGCTCCGTGGTGGGTGTGAGCCTGGAAGGAACAAACCAACCTACCCTCCCTCCTTTCTTAGATTTACGTTCCACTTTTTATTACCACAAACTCAAAGCAGCTGACATAATTCTCTTCCTCCTGCTCTCTCAATCTTATTCCCACAACAACCACCCCGTGAGGCAGGTTGGGCTCAGAATCTGTGACTGGCCCCAAGACACCCCATTGGCCCCATAGCTTGGCTAATAAATAACTCCAAGCACGGGATTGGGACCTGGATCTTGGAAGTGGTTAACGCTTCTCTGAGGGAGGGTCGAGTGCCTGCCACTTTAAAGGAGGCGGTAATACGACCGGTCCTGAAGAAAGCGTCACTGGATCCAGAGATGGCCACTAACTATAGACCTGTGGCCAACATCCCGTTTCTGGGCAAGGTGTTGGAGCGAGTGGTGGCGGGACAACTCCAAGCACTCTTGGATGAAACTGATGATCTGGACCCATTTCAGTCCGGCTTCAGACCCGGGTACAGTACTGAATCTGCCTTGGTCGCCCTGTACGACGACCTGTGCAGGGAGAAGGACAGGGGGAGTACATCCCTGTTGGTTCTTCTGGACCTCTCGGCGGCTTTCGACACCATCGACCATGGTATCCTTCTGGATAGACTTGCGGGATTGGGGGTTGGAGGCACTGCTTTGCAGTGGTTCCGCTCCTATCTCAACGGTCGATTCCAGAAGGTAGTGCTGGGGGACCATGTCTCTACGTCATGGCAGCTATGCCATGGGGTACCACAGGGCTCCATTCTATCCCCTCTGCTATTTAACATCTATATGAAACCGTTGGGAGAGGTCATCAGGAGGTGTGGGCTGCGGAATCATCAATACGCTGATGATACCCAGCTTTACCTCTCGTTCTCCACTAATCCAGGTGAGGCAGTGGCTGTGCTGAACCGGTGCTTGGCCGAGGTAAGGGAATGGATGAGGGCCAATAAACTGAAACTCAACCCAGACAAGACGGAGGTCCTGTTGGTTGGCGGATCGGGTTTCGGAGAGGGTGGATTTGACCTGGTCATGAATGGTGCAACACTCCCTCTTAGGGATAATGTCCGCAGCTTAGGAGTACTCCTCGACCCGGAGCTTTCTTTGGAAGCTCAGGTGACAGCGGTAGCGAGGAACACCTTCCTTCAGCTTCGGCTGATTAATAAGCTGCGCCCCTACCTGGAGTACGACTGCCTGGCGACGGTGACACACGCGCTGGTGACTTCCCGCCTAGACTTCTGTAACGCGCTTTACGTGGGGCTTCCCCTGAAGACAGTCCGAACACTTCAATTGGTGCAAAATAGAGCTGCCAGGTTGCTGACGGGGACGGGGCGTTATGCTCACATGACTCCAGTCCTCCGTCAGCTTCACTGGCTTCCCATTGAAGCCCGGGCCCAATTCAAGGTGTTGATTATGACCTACAAAGCCCTAAACGGCTTGGGTCCTGGCTACCTGAACGAGCGCTTACGTCCGTATATGCCTGACCGCCCTTTGAGATCTGCGGGAGAGTCCCTTCTCCGGGAACCCTCCATGAAAGAAATTAGGAGAGTAAGTACCCGGAGGAGGGCTTTCTCTGCGGTGGCGCCCAACCTATGGAATTCACTCCCCAAAGAGGTCCACCTGGCACCGTCGTTACTGGTTTTTCGGCGCCAGGTAAAGACCTTTTTATTTAAACATCATTTCAATTGTTAAAACATATGATCTGCCCAGGGCAACTTCTTCTTCCTTCTCTTTCTCCTCCTATATTTTTATTTTATACTGATAATTTTAATTTTATTTTTGTAAATCAATGTATTCTTTGTATTTTTATATTTAATGGTAATTTATTATGTACTATTGTATTTCAATGTATTATATCATGTTGTAAGCCGCCCCGAGGTTTCGGCAAGGGGCGGCATAGAAATGCTATAATAATAATAATAATAATAATAATAATAATAGCAGCAGCCGAGTGGGGACTAGAACCCGGATCACCTGATTCCCAGCCCTGCGCTCTTAATCACCCGTCCGCTCTGAGTGATGAAGACAATTCAATTACAGGGACTTAAAAAAACAAAAATGGAATCTTGCTATCTTAAAACCGGACTTTGATTTCCAGGGGAGCAGCCAAGTTAACTGGTTGCAGCAGAAACGTGTCTGAAGACTTTGCACCAGCAAATTTGCTTATTGTGATACGTTTTTGCCAATGGCGGCCCACTTCATCAGTTCAGCTGCACCTCGCCTTGGGAGTGTCACAATACTCTTGGCTGTTTTCATTTAACGGCAGCCAGTGTTGTTTCTGCTGTTGCCACTTCTCTTGATCGCTTTAAGGAACACGCTGCTTACAAGGGCACCTGCCTAGTGACTCCCAGGCGGAAATGTTCTCCTTACCCACGAGGGAAAGCTCCGCCATGGGGGCCCAGCACTGCTTCCTCTGCTTTGCAGGCTCCCGCAACCACCTCGACACACGCCGCTGCCCTTGCTCACCTGCTCCAGCTCCTTCAGAAATGCATGCTGCAGGGTCCCCTCCTTGGGGGGCTTCGAGACATGCAGGTGAAGGCTGTTTCCCCTGCCCAGTGTGTCAAGGCAGAGGACAAATGCCACGTTGTCCTGTAGCAAGCTGGAATCTGAAATCAGATGCAGCCAGAGGTATGAAATTATTGGTCCTTGCCAACCAAGACATACGCTCATTTCCCAGTTATTTCTTCAGGATGGCTGCCCCCGTATCTACCAGTGAGGAAACCCGCATGCCTTAAGAACCACACGCATGCATGCACCCGCCCACCCCGCCCAGGAGTCCCCAGATCTCCACGGGAATGCAACAAACCTCTCACCTGTGTGATCCAAGTTGTCTTCCAGCCACCGCTTGGTCCCTTGATAATTAAACTTGCCACCTCCAGATGCGAAGAAGAGGAGGTTATACCTGCACCCGTTTGAACACGGGGAGTAAAGAGGAAGGTTAAATTCCGACCCGTCGATGCAGGGAAGCGCCTCCCAGGACAGGAACCCCCCTCCCCGCACTATCAACGCTTCCTCACCCAGCGTGGGTCCGCTTGTAGGTGTAGAGGCGCGAGAAAAGTCTGGCCAGCTCAAGCAGCACGGAGAGCCCGCTGCCGTTGGAATTGGCACCGTGGGAGAGCCACTGGGAAAGAAGGAAGAAGGGTAACGGGTAGATTTCGGGACCCGGCAGTGAGGGAGATGTGGAGGGCAGGAAGACGAGATGGATGCAAAGCAAGCTACATCAAATGGGAAGGAAATAGGACGCAGAACCGTTGCCCTCATCGTGGTGCAATAGCCACAAACCACAAACTAGACTTTTAGTTTAGAAAATTAAAAAAAATATGGATCACCTAATTAAATGGAAACAGAGAAACACAGAAACAGAGCGAGTCAGAAGGGGCCTCCCGGGCCATCTAGTCTGACCCACGGCTCCAGCCGGCTCCGCTCATGACATGCCCACCATGTGCCTGTCCAGCCTATCTTTGAACACCCGCACTGATGGAAAGATGCTTGCCGGCCGGCGAGGATTGCATTTGCTCAATATTGGAAAAGTGAGGAGCTGCCCACCGATGGATTGATTGTAAGAAAGATCTTGGACTGCGCAGAAATGGGTAGATTGACTTTATCGTTGAAGGAGAAAGAGGATACTGACTTCTATCCAACCTGGGATTCTTTCCATAACTGGCTGGAGAAACAGGACTTGGCGTAAACTTAGAGATGTTTTCAAATTATTATAAATTGATTTGAATTTGACTTTAGAATGTTTAAAAAATATGTAGTAGGGGGTTGACCCAGTAAGTCCGATGTATGTGACGTTTGATGTTTTTAGTGTTAGTTGAAAATTTTAATAATATTTAAAAAAAAGATGCTTGTCGGCCATGACAGGCAAGAGAAGAACCGAGGCGGCCTGCCACAGGGTGCCAGAGGCTGAGGGCGGATAGCGCCAAGGTCTCCTGCCTTCTTGCTCTTTTTGTGAGCTTCGCCAAAGCCCCCAGGGAGCTCTGTTTAGATGGACCACTTCCCGTTCCCTGCCGGGAGGGGAGGCGTGATCTATTCAGTTTTCTCTTATTATCCCAAGTACCTCTGGGTCCACCAACCAGCACCAGGCGCAAAGCGGAGGGCAGGCCGCTTGCGTACTTACAGTGAAAGATCAATTCAGCACCAGAGCCGAGTTTACTCTTGTTTCCAACACGCCCCCCCCCCCCCCACATCCCAACCTTCTTTCAGCAGAGCAACCAAATGGCGGGGGAGCGTTTAGTGCCTGCTACTCTGAAATCACTGGATGTCAAACTCTGCTCACAATCTGCTGCAAGTCACTCAGGAAGGAGCAAGCGGCTCTCACAGTGCAGCTGGGCAGCCGCTGGAGAGGAATGGTGTAACTGGGAGTCCAGACTGAGCAGGGGGCTGGACCTGATGGCCCTCTGGCCCCTTCCAACTCTACCCTCCTATGATTCTGTGCCTCAATGTGTGTTCTGCCCACCCTTTGTTTAGGCCTCCGAGTGTCAACAGGAGGATTGGGGCCCACCTCTGGCCTGGGTCTTGGCCCAAAATGGTTGAGTCAGCAGGATCTCTACAATTTTTGAGAGCCAGTGTGGCGTAGTGGTGAAGAGCAGGGGACTGGGACTCAGACGACCTGGGTTCGAGTCCCCGCTCAGCCATGGAGCCAAGTGGGGACTTTGGGCCAGTCACAGACTTAGCCCAGCCTACCTCACAGGGTTGTTGTTGTGGGGAGAAGATGGAGGAGGGGAATGATGTAAGCTGCCTTGAGCCCTTTGTGGGAAAAAGGCAGGATATAAATCCAAAAATAAATAAAAATAAATAAAAATAAATTATGGGGGTGTTTGGAGAGTTGGGGGTAGCTCTCAGAAAGAAAGAAAGCAAAAAGGAGGAAATGGGGGAGGACAAAGTACCCAGCAGGGAGCTCGGCCAACTTCCTTTTGCTTTGATGAGTCAGGTCTCTCTTCCCCTCTGGATTAAACCATGAATCAGATTAAAGGCCCTGAGAGCAAAGAACACTCCACACAATGGCACATAAATTCAAGCGAGAGTTTAGGTCGTTCCAACATGCGCCATAACTGATGATGGCGATCGTCAGGGGGCTCTTGCAGACACGGGGGACTTACCGGGGCGACTCCAAAAGAATCATAGTGAGCTACTATTACAATAGTAAGTAGATCTTCTCCCAGACCCGTCAACCGTCCCTAGAAGGGGAATGACATGTTTCAGCCGCAGTCACTTCTGTTGCTGCACCCTCAAAGCCAATTCAACACAAACCCTCACTCTTTCTTATTCTTTCAGCACTGGGTATTGCTTCAAGTGTACCCACAAAACAATATATAAACTTTTTTTTTTCTTTCGCTAGGTAAATGCTTTAAAGCTCTAGCACTGGTTTCCTTATCTCTCTGGCTCACACACACCTATACACTCCCAACCTTTGCTCCTGAAATTCCCCTGTTCAAATTCCTGCCCTATCAAAGACTGTTCACTGTTTCTTGCAGCTTCCTATGCTTGCAACACAAGGGTGCCTTGGATCATTAACTTAATCCGTTCCAGGTCTCTGGTCGTGACCCAAATTGGTTGTGAGCCATTGGTCCCCATAAGGTTCCATGTAAGTGAGGTTAATCCATTCTGTAACTATTTTTTTTTTAATCAGAAGAATGTGAAGCAAAGTGACAAAGAACAACAAAGATCGTGGCCATTTCCTCCCCTCCCACATGCAGAACTGTGATCGAGCCTGTGTTCCCTGCACGAGTGCAACTGTGATCGTGACCACAGATGGGCACAATCGCGGTCGTGCTCAGGCAGGGAACACGGGCACGATCATGGTCATCTCCCCACAATGCAGAGTTCGCGACTTGAGGCAAAATGTTTCTGTAATTTCTGTTCACGACCCGATTTGGTCGTGAACTGAGGCGTTCGTGAGCCAAGGCACCCTGTATTTACTAGAACATCAGTGTGGTGCCCTCTTCTCTTGCTTCTCCTGAAAACCTGTCCTTTCGGGGGGGTGGGTTCACTTCGCTCCCATGCACCTGTTCGTGTGCCTTGCAGGGAACAATCCCGCAGATATATTTATCTATTTAAAGCATTTCTATGCCGCCCCCATCGCAACAAAGACATAAGCTAAATCTTGCCAAGCACAGCTTAAATCATCACACACGCTTTCCCAGCTCATGCTGACCTCCACTCATCTCTCTCCATCCCTCCTTTTCGGGGTTTGGATGGCACACACCCCCTTCACTCTGCAGAAGTGCCACACACACTGCTGGCTCTGTTTAAATAATTATGCTAATGAATACAGAAAAGCAGAGCAGAATAAAAACAGTGAGCAATAGCTAAAGACAGCTCGTGGGAGGCTGGAGCCTTGGTGACAAAGGCTGACTCGAGCGTTTGGCTACCGGGGCCTGGCTCTCACTGAATTTGCACATCTAGGTTAGACCAAAAGATCAGTGTGCCAGAAGCGCCTTCCAACTCACCTCCACGCTCGTGATGAGCCAGTCACTGACTGCTTTGCTCTGAGCACCACTGGTCACCATTTGGAAGCCATTGGCTGTTGCAGTGTGCAAGAGAACTGGAAAGAAAACAGGAATACCAAAAGGAAAAAAAAAAGGAGCTTTTTCAACCAGCGTTCATGTTGGATCACTGGAAAGAAACTCAGACAGTCAGATAAGATAGCTAGCAATCCCTCCAGTTTAATTATTTGCCCTTTAGTTCACCCCAAAATGGATAACTTTTTTTTTTAAATTTTTAGCCGAGAATGCACTGAGGTTTTATTGAGGTTTTACGGCACTGGGGTTTTATTGTATTGGGGTTTTATTGTATGGTTTATTTATTGATGTTGTGAGCCGCCCCGAGGCTTGTTGCGATGGGGTGGCATAGAAATGTTTTAAATAAATAAATAAAATAAATAACTATTATGAACAATGTTGTTACTAAGAAAACATTGCTCAATTAAGCTAGATGTAATTTAGTACCAGTTTATGTTTTGGTTGATTAGGCCTCTCTTTTTCAGGATAAGACGATAAATGCTTATACTAAAAAGGAGAAAACAGGCTTGTCAACAGTCATGTGGGATGAAAAAATGATCTAAATAGGCAGAAATTAATTGGAAAATGGAAGCGCTGCTAGGGAGATGGCCTCTATGTTACCAAGGCCTTGCAACCCTCCTCCTCGGGGAACAAGGTGCCACAAATGTCAAACTGTACTTAGCAAACCATTCTCTTTATCCCACACATAATGCTGTCTTCACACAGGAACCAAAAAAAGAATGAAGTGTGATACTCAAACCTTATTGAATTTCCTTCCATGTAATTCCCTTCCCCGAATTTAATATAATGCCATTGTATCATCCAGATGGACATTTTCCATCCGACCTCGCTCTTGACCTTTTTATTTTTAAAAACAGACACAGTATAATGAAAACATCCACAGCATGATCTGAAGGGAAGAATCCTGCTTACTGAACAGATTTCTTGTTGACAAAAAGGGTATCTATAATAATACAAACAAATCAAAAATGCAGAAGAATCAGTAGGAAAAGGGAAAAGCAGCAGAAGTGGCAAATACAACAGCAAGTCATAAAAGCAAAAAGCAGCAAACCAGGAGAAAGGTCACTTCAAAGCCTAGGCAAGCATCTTAGTGGCACCAAACCAAGTTTGGAAGGATCTGACCCTCTAAAACCAGGGATGGGGAAGAAAAATTTCTTCTTGCAGAGCAGGGCTCCATCCTTGAGCTGTAGCCCTCCTTTGCAGGGGCACCTGCTCAACATCTTTGGGAAGAGTGTTGCAAGGATGAGTGGCCATCCTTGGAAGGCCTGAGGAAGGCGGACTCAAAGGCCAGTGGGAGATGCCATGACTTGCCCGACGGAAGCCTTACCTTCGGCAGCCGATGCCGAGCCTTGTGACGCAGAAGCCGCCCGTGTCTGTTCGTAGATGGACAGCAGCTCACTATCCTCCTCGGCAAAGTAGACCGGCACGATGGTCTCCATAGCCAGCATTTCTGGCTCGATCTCCATGAATTGCTGAAGAGAAATGGGCAGTTTATGACAAGTCTTTTACGCTGCGCTGCTGGGATAGGTTGTATTTTGATTTTCAGAAAACCATCGTGGCCTCTCTACTTCTGCGTGGATAAGCTACTCAAGAAAAGCTGATGATAAAAAGCGAAAAATGGACAAATAAAATCATCTAGGGTTCATAAGGCTTCGGCGAATGGGGCGGCATAAAAATGTTTTAATAAATAAATAAAATGAATAATAAATAATAAATAAAATAACCAGTTCACACTAGCCTGTCTCAATTGGGCTCCTGCATTAGTTATTTGTTTAACAACACAGGGATCCGTTTATGTTAAGGAAATGTTTCAGTGATGTACGGGGGACAAGAGTACCTTACTGAGAATGCCTGTTGAAAAGAAGTCGCTTTGAGCAGGCACCAAAAGGCCAGAAGGGTTATCCTTGGCCTAATTTGCAGTGGCGGGGGGGGGGGGGGTTGAGTTTCCTGGCACGTGTTCACACATCATGAGACGATGACTCGTAAAAGGAGGCTTACCCGGATGACATCCTGAGGAACTGCAGAGATGCTCCGAGGCAGAATAATTACCACAGCCCCAGCTGACTGGCGAAGGGCCTTCTGGTACTGCTCGTACGAAAAGTCCATCAGCCGCATCATCACGCAGCGGCGGCTCAGCACGTCCGCCTCCACCGTGCGAGCTTCGGTGTTCAACACGGCGTTCCGGGTGCCTGCCAACAACAGAGAAAGAGGGCTTTTGAGTGCCTTTCACCCCAGATCTGTGAATATGGCCTGCACGGGAACTTTAACATAGAAACAGAGCGAGTCAGAAGGGGCCTCCCAGGCCATCTAGTCTGACCCCCAGCCGGCACGACATGCCCACCTGTGTGGAAGCATGCTAATGGCTGAATAGGTACACCACTTCCCCCAGCCTTTAAAATTGATCCTCGGAGGAGGACTTCTTACAGTTATAGATGAAGTATTTCAGCTAACAAGAACTGGGACAAATAGAAACATTCAAAGGTTGCTGGGTTTTTTGAAGGAAAACCCCTGTTTCAACCCAAACAGGCTCCACAGGGCACAGTTTATTTATTTATTTATTTATTAAAACATTTTTAATAAATATTGCAGTTTTTCTTTCTGCAGGATAACAGGGTGGTGGGAATGATGGCCCAGTCGTGCCTTGTCCTCTCACTTTTGACTTTTACTCTGGGAACTGCCAACAATGCTTGCCTATGCTGTGAAGTACCATCGAACTCTTCCATGGTTACCTACAACTACAAGCTTGCACAAGCCTCCACTGACAACTGAAGTTATTTTTAAATTGAGAAAATCTTCCCTGAATAACTAACTGTTTCTTGGTTAAGGTTCGCACCCTTTGCTTTAGCAGTCTTGCAAAATTTTATTTTAAAATGCCTGAATAACAGCACTGGCTTTGCCAAGTGACTCTCATGCATCCTTTAAATGTGCTTTAAGTCATTATGATTTTAAATAGTTTTTAATGAAAAGTCAGCCTAACAGTTTTTAATTACTTGTTTATTAGGTTAATATCCCACCTTTTTTTCCTTTCAAGATGCTTAAGGCGGCTTACATACAGTGGTAGCTCGGCTCATGAATGCCTCAGTTCATGACCCAATCGGGTCAAGAACAAAAATTTCATTAAAATCTTGACGTGGGTCACAAACTCCGCATTGGGTGGTGACCGTGGCCATCCCCCTCCCCTGAGTGGGGAGATGGCTGCAATCATGCTGGGGGGTGGGGGGAGATGGCCAAGATTGCGCCCGTCTTTCCCGCATGAGTGCGACCGTGATCTCAGCCATCTCCCCACCAGCATAATCGCACCCACCTCCCCTCCAGCACACCTGCGATCGTGCCTGTCTCTCACTCCCCAGTGTGCTGGGATGACACACACACTGGGGGGGGGGAGGAGAAGGTTGCGCTGGGGGGGCAGGGAGATGGCCGTGATCTTTGTTGTTCTTTGTCACTTTGCTTCACATTTTTCTGATTAAAAAACAAATAGTTTCAGAACGGATTAACCTTATTTACATTGACCCTTATGGGGAAATTTGACTTGGCTCATGACCAGTTTGGGTCATGACCAGAGTCCTGCAACGGATTAAGTACCCGAGCCGAGGTACCATCATAATGCTCCTTCTCCTCCCTAAGTTATCCTAACAACAACCCTGTGAGGTAGGCTGGGCTGAGATTCTATGACTGGCCAAAGTCACCCAGTTGGCTGCGTGATCAAGCAGGGACTAGAAGTCAGATCTCCTGAGTCCCAGTCTTATTTCCCCATTCACTTCCCTCCCCCAGCACAGTTCTCAATAGATATTGTGGAGAGAAATAAGGGTACAGGCTTCCCCATGACATTGTGCAGTCATGTCTGACTCTAGGGAGCAGTGCTCATCTTTATTTCTTAGCCAAGAGAGCCAGAAAATCAAATACAAAAACGTGGAGCTGCCCCTTGGAGGGAGAACGAAGTGAGAATAGCAAAGAATTACAGAGGGGTGTTCTAGCTACTGGCCTGGTGGGTTGCCACTGAATTCAACAGAACACATCGAGTTCGACTATGCCCAAAGATGCAGATGCGTAAATTTGGGCGTGCTGAGTCTGGTGGGAGTTGGCGAAGCCAACAGGCGAGGTTTGCTCACAACGCTCCCAGCCCAAGGGAGCACCTCTTGCTTCCTAAAATGGATACGAGATAAAGAAGTTTCCAGATGGTTTCCTCTGGGATACTTGTCCATTGCCATGAACAATTCTCAAATTGGGAGTCTTTACAGTGCAAGGGGCCTCTCCCATCCTGCTTGAAACCTGAACTGTGGTTCCATCAGTATCTACTCACAGGTAAGTCACACTGAGTTAACTTCTTAACAAACTTTCTAATAATTGGGCTGTCAGCATTCATTAGTTGGCCAAGCGCCCTCATACAGTGTTGGAATAAAATAATACTACGGACCATTAGAGTGGGGTGCAAAAAATAAAAATAAAGGTTTCTGGGGGCTACCATCTTAACCCATTATGAGAGAAAACAGCATGAGATTGATCTCCTTCATGTGACTGCAATGATGCGAAGTTTTCCAAGTTAATGTTAATGATACGCTGCCAGAGCATACACAGAAGGTCAACGGGACCATTTCCTATCAGCTCCATCCCCGCTTCCCACCAACTTACTTTCAAATGCACATTTTATGGGCAGGTCATTTTCAAACAGGTGGAATCCCTTCAACCATATAAAGCGCCTATCCAATACACAGCCGCATCCAAGCGCAAGACACTTCGCCCCTCCGCCTTCCGAGATCTGCTGGGGATCATGCAGATCGGCTAAAAAGCTCCAACCATCCGACTAAATCAGAATCCACTCCGAGGCACGTCTGGCCAAAGACTCCCAGCATTTCCCAGTCAGGGCTAGGGGGCATGCTGGGAAGCGCAGGCCCTGCCCCCGGGGAATGCTGGGAAGCGCAGGCCCTGCCCCCGGGGAATGCTGGGAACGGCAGGCCCTCTCGCCAGGCAAACATGCGCAAGAACGTGCCCCCGGCATTTCCGCCAAGTCATGCAGCCCAGGCACGTCGCAACCCGCACACACGTGTCGCAACGCTCCGCTCCGCATCGCCGCGGCCTGCCCTCGCCAAGCAGGGGGCGGCCGGTGCCGCCGCGCCCGCAGAATCGCTGACACGCGTTCTCCGCGCACGCACACGCGGGCCGTCGCCCAGCCACAACCCGCGGCGGGCCCGGGAGGCTCGCCCCGCTCTCCACGTGCCCGGGCCTCACCGTAGGGCTGCCCGCCCAGCTCGTACTGCTGCATGCGGTACACCGTGAACTCGTGTGCGGCCGAGGCCGGCGGCGGCCCGAGCAGCAGCAGCAGCACGGCGGGCACCACCAGCAGGAAGCTCAGCGGCAGGCACGAGGCCTTCAGCAGCACCGAGCCCAACACCTCCTCGCCGGCCTCCTCCAGCATGTCGGCGGCGGCGGAAAACCAGAAGCGGCGCCCCGGCGAGTCCTCTTCGGCCACAGCGCGCGCGCGGAGCACGCCGGGAAATGGAGTCCGGCGCGGAGCCGGAAGCGCACGCGCGGGGCACGCCGGGAAGCCGAGTCCGCCGCCGGGGAGGGAGGCGCGGCTGCGCAGAAGCGGCGGCGGCGGAGCGCGCGTGCCCGCCCCCTTCTTTCCGCCCCGCCTTCTCCTAGCCGTTCAAGATTCAACGCGGTCAAGCTGCGCGCTTCTGCTGTAGCCCTGCTCGGGTCGGGACTCTACCACCCTGTGTGCGCGCGGCTCTTTTGGTCTCCATTTCTGTCAGTTATCTAATAGCTGTTTTGAGAGGTCTGAACGCTTTAACTTTTCCTCCCTTTGTATTATTTTTTAAATTGCACGTTTATGATTTGTGTTTACAGACTGTGTAAAACATGCAGCGCACTTTAGAAATTAAATAAACACACGAATAATTCTGCTCAATGTGGGATCTTTTCCTTTTCGTTTTCCTTGCCAGCCGCTGGACCAGGGGCATAAAGCTTTGCACCCCGCTCGTGGTCAATGCACTTGCACTGCCACCAGAGTTGCCAACAGCGCCGGGAAAAGTCCGGAAAACGGGTCTTTTCTGCTGAGATTCACTGTCTTTTTCTTTTAAGCCTGATAAAATTTTTAAAAAAACTAGGCACGAATCTTTCTCTGTGATGCAAGGGCAGCTGCCAAGACCACACCCAGCCCACCTGTGGTTCTGATCCTTCCCTCTTGCAGTCCCCAGAAGGGTTCAGGTTGGGAGTGGCCACGTTTGAAAGCAGCGGGGGGGGGGGGAATCACCCCGCTATATGGGCTCAGTGATAGCACTCTCTTATTTTCTGAGCTTGTCCTTAAACTCCTCCATTTGGAGGAACGAGAGTAGAACCCCGGTTCGATTTTTAGGATAAA